TAAATATGTATGGATTTTATCAAAGTTGGTCTGTACAAGGAAGGATTTTCCCAATGAAGCAAGTTTAATTTAATTGGACTGGAAATTATGTATGGAAATTACCAGAATGTTTGTCTCTTACTTACTTTGAATGCATGAGGGTAGGAGCCTGACTGTATTRCAAATTTCAGTCTAATATATAGTTTCTTATAGATTATCAAAAATTACCATTAAGCCACAGACAAACAAGGAATGTTGGACCATCAGCAATTTTTAAGTCCTACGAAAAAACAAAATGATTTGTGCAGGAATTTTATCGTATACGTTGGTTGTACCTTATTTGGTGWTCTGACATTTCTCGTTTGGCTGGGCTTTACATTTATTATTTTGCAATTGTTTGTTGGGAGATGGATTTATTTATTGTTTTAAAAACTATGATGAACTGTTGCGTTATTGAAAACTGAATAAAGATGGATATGTCAGACCAGTGTTTGCTATATAGATGGTAAAGCCCTTTGCCCCTCTAACTAATCGATTCATTTTCGTTTCATTTCTAAATCTCCAGARTGTCAGTAGCCGATGCGTTTATTGTAGAGAATAAACCGAATRTACGCAGGCTAGTATGTCAGTGGCGGATCCAGAAATTTCGAAAGGGGGAGCACGTCTGTTGAGGTCCCGGGGATGAAACGCCTTCAATTTGAGGTCATTATTCCTTACACCCATGTATTCGCACCAGTACATTGTGAACGAACCTCTATCATCTGACAATGCTAAAAAAGATGGCGCAAAAACTTTTATAGCAGAATCACACCAGAAGATAGATATTTAAAGCTTTTCCAWTCCAAATAACCCTTCAACGCAAAAAGGACTTTTACATGCAGCTACTTTCAAGATTTTTAAATTTGCAGGCCCGACCTTTTTTTAACCAAAAAAGGTGTGGTGTCAATTCGAGAACTATATATTGGTGTGTGGTMTTTATTTTAAACACTGACGGAAAGTATTTAAATCATTCTTCTCTTGCATGCCACATGTTGCTTTTTCTTCTCAAATATCAGGTTTTTATCGTCATTTTTTAACTATTTTAAACATTTTTTTTTAACAATGGTTGTATACAATTCTGTAAAGAACTTATAGATACTCTGAATTTCTGAAATCAGTTTCTAAGTAACCGGGTTTGTAAAAGCAGTCAGTGAGCATTGAATTGAATAATCTAGTAAATACATTTTATCCTCTATAGTAGCGTCGTTTTGGTAGTTTTCTAAGCTGCGGTGGATTTCCTCTCCTCTTTCTTTCTGTTAAGAAAAAAGAACAACAAAGAGGTTTTTGCATGTTTTAGTCAAAGTCGTTATGACGACAGAGAAAATGGTAGTTATTCTGACTGGTATATGGAGAGGCTATCAACATTGCTCATTTCAGTATCATTCAAAAAATCTTCCTGCCAATACGTATTTTTTAATATTAATCAAAAACTAAGGATATGGCGGGCTTAGCCACCTCCACTTCCTCCACAGGCAACTCTGAGGAGGAGTTCCCCTTTTCTCGCCCCCATTCTCCCTCTTTTGACTCCTCAAAAAGACAGGAAGCCCGTGATTCACTGGAAAAAATCGCTCTCTTTAAAGGTTGTAAATTTGATGTAAATACGATGTAAGTGTCTAAAATTCCGTAAATTTAATGGAAATCATTTACATCAAATTTACAGAATTTTGGACACTTGCATCATATTTACATCAAATTTACAACCTTTACTTTAAAGCGCGCGATTTTTTCCAGTGATTCTTAGTGATGCATGCGGAGGAGGCTATGGCGGGCTGTTCTTTCTTCCCCTCAAGTGAGCGACACACCTGCTAATAACGTTTCTTTTTCCTGGGCGACAGACAAAACGGTTTTGGAAAAATTAAGCCTGGTACACGTCTCTTATCGACATCATCTGTGTTTGTATTTGTTTATATTRATAAAAAACATTGCGTACTGTAAATTATAAATTCAAACAGGATGATGATAACAATGTGTGCTACTGTATTTTAAGAGAAAAAGAATATTCTTTTGAATCTTTCAATCCACCCAACTAACATTGTTGAATTTGATTATGGAAATATGCTTTCCTCCTTTGAAAAAATGCACCATTTACTTTAGTACCAATCAATTTCTTGAACAAAAGTTAATGAAAATGCTGCTTCTCGGCTTTGTTTCCGTRTAAGGCCGTATAACCTCCTCTCAGTCCTTTTTGTAAATCAAATATTTGATTAAAAAAATGTGAAAAAAAATAATTTAATCGAACTCTAGGGCCATGGCCGTTTTCTTATGTGTGTCTCTCCTTGTTTTTTTCTAAATAATAAGAATACGAAAATGGGGGCAGAAAATCTAGAGAAACAGGCTAAGCGAGTCCGTGTCTCACTTTATCAAATGATACAGCAAATATGCAGTAATCGTGGTCTTTTTGACTCATATTTCAAGTATATATAAAATATATAAGATACTATGCTGATATCATCGCCAATATTTTTTTTCAGAAAGTACTAGTGCTAGGCAACTTCAAAAAATATCAGCGATAATATCCCATAAGACTTTGAAAATGAGTCAAAAAAATCATAATTTCTGCATATTGCGGTAAAAATGGCAATGCTTATGTAAATATAAATTGTTGGACAAATTGTTTGTATATGTGAACATGGAGTTAATCTCACAGTAAAAATGTTAACTTACTGTACAAAATCACGTTGATGATGCTCCATATCCACAGGCAAAGCAAACAGGCAACATAAGTGAGTTGCCAGTAGTAAATAACGACATACCATGCCATGTTGATCCAAGAACCAATGGTGTAGTTGAGCGACATGTCTGTCCAGCTGTGGTAGAAAGCACCCTGATCGTGGGAGTAAGCGACATATAGTGTGGTATTGATGGCATATAAAATCATATACAAGGCTTGACTGATCCGCTCGTTCTGGACAAACAGAGGGAATACCAAGTAGTTGTAACACCTGGAAATGACTGGCCAATACCAGCTGTGAAATAAGCAACACTATATTGAAAGACTGCTTCAGCAAGTCGACCATTGAGTTGTAAACCGGCTGGATAATCCACTCGACCATTGTGCTGTAAACCGGCCGGACAATCCACTCGACCATTGTGTTGTAAACCGGCCGGACAATCCACACGACCATTGAGCTGTGAAACACGACAACGCACTACATTTCACCTGTCAATTATACGATTCCGCCAGCTTACAAGAAGAAGAATTCTTCCCTTATGTCTCAAACTCTTTCACTTCTCCAGGTTCATTGCTCTAGTAGAGTTGAATTAATATGCTTCTTCTGTTGAAGTGAATATTTTGTACTTGAGTTTTTATGCTCATTCAATCAATCAATCAATTTCTTTATTAGAACGGGTGCGCGCGCGTGAAAAAAGGACACTGACTGATTGACGCATTGAACGAACTTCACAATGGATGTTGTARCAAAGAAAATAAAGAAGAACGAAAAAAAAAAACGTTATGATACCAATGAAACCGTCGTTGACATTAGTAACCGAKATAACTTAGTTAGATTCGAGATTCACCCATCTTTTACGTACGTACAACTTGCTTCAGACAATAATTTTTGAAAAATTAGCGAAACTCACTTCATAGCGTCAAAATGTGTTGCTTTTGGCAATGAGATCGCTGATTCTTTGAATTTCTTAACAACCTTAAATAAGTAKTCGTTTTGCCTCTGTCCTTGAGGGACCCGCCGAAGGTACGGCACTGACGGTCGGCTAAAGAAAAATTCTCAGTTTTACCTTGTATCGTTCTGTTTGAAGATTGTCACCTAAAGCGGGAATATTGAGAAGAATTATAATCTCGATGACAAAAATAACTTTAAATACTTTTGTAATTGACATCTTAGCCACTTTTTGTARAGCTTCAAAGAAACTCTTCGGCCTGTCCTAAAAGAGAACAAATACAACTAATGACGCAACACTAATTGATTATGACGTCACTTGCTCGAGATMGATGGGCGCAAAGACTTGTGGTTCTGATCGATATCATAAAAGCGTCTTCGTTGAAAATCTTAGGCTGAAAAACTGGAAGACATTGGATATCTAGATGGTTTAATTTGAATGCAGCAACAAATAGTTATTCCTTAATCGTATGAAAATTGCGCACCACAGGCAGCCCAAACCTCCCATAATGCTGAGCGGTTTTGGAGCCTCGTTACTGTACCCTGATCGCGCGGGTTGATTCAAAATCCGTTTCAATGTCAAGTTCCGTCTGCTGAAGCAAAGAAGAAAACCTCGAGAAAAATACTATATAAGTGAAGCGATCTTCGTAGAAACTACAGCTATGTCAGAATTATATATTATTTTATTSTTTATGCTACAAATTTGCTGATAGACTAATTTATTTGAAGTCGAAAATTTATTGTTTATTTACGACATCATGACGACTCGATACATGGGGAACACAATCGAAGTAAGTTTTCCAACATTTAACTCATCAAAATCACTATTTTTTACTTATGTATTAACTTATTTTTATATAAAAAATGTTTAGTCTACCAATTACAAATTTTAGTTAACGACACGGCGCCAGCAACGCAGATATGTGTCGTGTTTTGTGCATCGGTSACAATCGATGTTTACTTTCGTCGTGCACAATCTAAARTAAAACCCGTCC